AATATTTTTGTCATTTTTGGTAAAAAGTGATATTTTCGACTTCTTGTTAAAAACTGTAAGTCCGATTGCTTTGATACTATTCATATTGTTCATTTTCTAATGATGTCTTCAGTTCTTTAATTGAAATGTGCATTGCTAACAGCGGAGCTATCTCAGCCGATAGGCTGCTTGTTGTAGACTGTCTCACAACAAATTAACTTGACTATATACAGTACTAGTAGTAGCATGGCATGAAAACTATTGTGAATTCATTATTGCCTCAGGATCAGGAATGTAGAAAGTTTCTGCCTCAGAACTTTCAGTGAACTTATCTGATCCAGTCCCAGACTTTTTGCCCATGCATAAAGGTGGACTTTGGCTATGTACATGTTTTATAACATATTGATTAGGCTAGTTGCTGTAAATTTTTTTATTTTAGCTGGAATTAATTTTCGCTGAAAAGACGATTTGGATGAGTTGAATGTAAAATATAGGAAAAAAGGTATATTCACTGGATTTTATTTTCACTGAATCATTCCTTCAGCAAAAATAGTGAAAATTAATTCCAAGTGAAAATAAATTATTTTACAGTAACTATAATTGTGTTGAAATAATATACCGGTAAATGTATACATTTAATTGAAGGAATTTAATATTTGATGCATGTGTCAAACTTGTGATGAAAACTATAATTTGGTAGCCATGGTGATTACCTTTAATGAATGGCATTTTAAAAAGATATGTAGGTCACCATTTGGCCACTTAAACGAATCTAGCTAGCAACAAAACTTTCTGGAATGCTAAAACAGACTTTACAATTTATCAGTTATTTGCGGCTCTTTTCTACCCACAATTCAAAACTTTGAAGTTGCTCATTTTATTATCTGCCATATTTAATTTTTTCTAATATTTGAACATTTTTTGAAATAAATCTTTATACATATGAGAAAATAGATCCGTGAAGAAAAAAATATATTTGAGATATAAACTAAAATAAATTAGCTTCATATTTGCCCTCAATCAAGCCTATATTTGAACTTGCAGAGCCTGTATGCAAACTGTATTGAACATCCATGACACAAAACCATCTGATATTGTTTTTCATTCATTTCAGCTATCTATGGAGATTATCAGTTGATGATGTGTCCTTAAAAAAATGTGTTTGATACATGACAATGTAGCACATATATATACCATGTACTTCCCTGGCTATGTACATTAAACTATTAAACTAAACTAGCTTTTCTTTCTTTAATCCTGTAAGGTATTGGCTTCATCCTACTGGCTGTCCAAAATGAGGAAGATTAAACTAAACGCTCATGACATTGGTCTGTTTGCTACTGAGATAGGCGGTTCTGAGTATTATTTTTTCAAAAAACACACAGAGACATTCAAACGAATGTGGGAAGATCAAGTAAGTCAGTCAATTTGTGTACCGAGGGTACTCTATTGTAATGTAGCTTAGATTTCCAGTTGCTGTAAATACACATATGTATTTCAACAATGGCATGTTCTTCACAAAATCAATTTCCATTTAGCAAATATTTTTAAGGAATAGGAATTCCCAGCTCAACAGAGCTGTTTGTATACACAAGATTTTTTATGCCACACTGAATTTCTTAGATTTAAGATAATCCCAGTGAGTTGACTGAGAACATTTAGAATTATTTCATTGTTTTGAAAGAATCAGAAAATTATCAACTTGGTTTCTTTTTTAGCTCCACTGTCGACTTTGTCGAGCGGAGCTTATCATATGAGTGATTGTCCATCGTCGTCGTCCGTGCAGTGTTCTCCCCAGGATGTAAACAGCGTGGCGGTCCCGCCACAGTGCTTCGATTTGCCACCACACCGGTCTGACACCACCACGGTGATTAGCAAGACCGTCACAGTGCTTTTTTCATTGGGGATCTCGTCACGCTGGTCGGCCCGACCGGCACTCAAAATTAGCGACCACCACGGAAACGCTTCCGACCAGGACTATTGCCATATTGTTATTATACTTACGTACCGACTGACACGCATCCTGCCAGTCGTGGACAATAATTTGTAAACAATAGACCGCGATTGAACAATACAAGTCAATTTTGTAAAATTAGCACCTCTTTGTTTGTAAGTTACTACTTTCTGATGATAGACGCAGTCTTTTGATTGAAAGCTAAAATTCTTTCAAAATCAATTCCACCTCATGTAACATGGGCAAAGCGGAGTTCACGATCAGTTTACGCTACTCAAGAAAAAACAACGTGTTACTTGTGTGATTGGGTAAAATACATTTGAACTGTTATCATCGTGAATCATGTAAAAACCCTTCTTTCAAGACTTCTTTTACCTTTTAAAAATTTCTAATCACCTCTTTCGAAAACCATCATGCAGTTTTCATCTGAAATTCATACCAACACATCGTGCTACGACATCGCTTTACTTCCGTAATGTAATTTTTATGATCACTATCATTCGGAAAACTTCGGGTTCTACCGGCATTACCATGCGGCATTCTGATTCGTTAAATGGCGTTTTTGACCCACCGGGTCAAGGACACATGTCGGTCACTAATGCGTCATACTATCATGGCGGGTCGCTGTTTTTCACCGAAGTGATCGAGTGATCAAAAATAATTTCTCCCGATAAAACTAGTTCAAATTTTACATTTTTTTCATATAAAAAAAAGAAGTATTTAATTTTTGCATGGCATCATGACCAAGTAAGAGGAATTATTGGTATAACCGGTGTATAACATCGCAAAGTAAGTTATGTCACGTCGTAATTTTGATGATCGTTTGGAAGTGTTATTTGTTCGTTGTAGAAGCTGTTGGTCGGAATAATAACCAGCAATCCACCAAATGATTACGTGGTCGATTTTTTGAAGGAGAATTTTGTAGTAAATAAGATCATGAAAGTCGTGAACATAATCCTGGCTCAAAGGTTTCAAATTAGTTTCATTTAACTTTTTACAATTTATTTGTTTCTTTTTAGTCTGCAGCATTTGCATTTCGAGAATGTTAAATTTTTAAATTCAAACTCTTCTAAATTGTGAAACGTAATATTTTGACTCCAAAAAAAAATATATTTGCACTGTGACGGAGCTCATTAATATTACAAAAGTGCCCAAAATAAAAGTGTTTATAACACTGTGTGAAGCAAATAAATATCTGCCACTTTGTTTTTTAAATATATGTTGTTTATTGTGTGGGTGTAAATGTGCTTTTGTCAATTTCTATTATTATGCAAATGATATGCAAATTATGTCGTCACGGTGGTTTGAATTCCTGGGGAGAACGCTGCCGTGTCAATGTTTTACTCTTTCAACTTCTTCTTGAAAACTACAAGCTTGAATGCTTTGATACTTGGTGTATATGTACCTTGGGTAGACCTCTCTCAGATTTGTTCATTTCATGATGATATCTTCAATTCTCTAATTTTGGTGAATATTTTTGTCATTTTTGCTAAAAAGTGATATTTTCGACTTCTTGTTGAAAACCGCAAGTCCAATTGCTTTGATATTACATATATAGGTACTACATGTGGACCTCTCTCAGATTTGTTTATTTTGTAATGATATCTTTAATTCTCTAATTTTGGTGAATATTTTTGTAATTTTTGGTAAAAAGTGATATTTTCCACTTCTTGTTGAAAACCGCAAGTCTGATTGTTTTGATACTATACATATTGTTCATTTTCTAATGATATCTTCTGTTCTTTAATTGAAATGTGCATTGCTAACAGCGGAGCTATCTCAGCCGAGAGGCTGCTTGTTTGTATTCAAAACAGATTTCCCATATACTGATAGCAACTATAGTAAATTCGTTTTGATTATTGTAATATTGCCACTTGTATATGTTCATATATCTCTGTTTTTGATTTATTTATACAGGGTCGAATATTTTGGGAAAGATTTATTTTGTGTCTTAGAGGGTTTTCAATTAATTATGGTGTTCTCAAAGAATTCCCTGTTAAGGTAGGTTAACCGATTTGAATTGATCTGTATTAAAATAAGTACACCATGTTTTCTTGTCCTAGATTAATGTGTAGGTTTTCTGCTTAACTAGGTAAAGTGAAACAAATTCATTTAACACATAAAAATGTTCCTGTGAAATGCTTATGATCAATATTGATTTTGTTTTCCATTAAATCTCACTCAAATGCCTGTTTGATACATATGATTTATTAATATCATTTTTTAAAATTTTTAACACTGCAGTTGAATCGTCAGTATTGAGATTGCATATGTGGTCCATTATTTAATCATAATGCATATACATACTATTTTAACATTTCAATTAAATGAGTTTTCTATTTTGTATTTTAGAGTGAACAGTATGAAGTGTTTATTGATGATGCGTTTGAATTTTTAAAACATGAATTTGTTAAAGGTAAGAGTCGATAATTTGCTGGGTTTGACACAGTGTGATAAAATACAATGGGAAATGCCAGTGTTGACATGCAAACATGTATTTTTTATTTTTTTTCAGGAAAAGTAAATACAGCTAAAAGTCTTGTTTTAGATACAGCTATATTAGCACAAAATAAACATAGTCTTGGAGGTCTGGAGTCTAGTTCTTATTGTAAGTACATTGTCTTGCTAATTTGAATACAGTATTTTCAAACGGTTGTGAATGATTATGTTTACTGGTATGTGTACATAAAAACGCATTCAAATAAAATATTTCTGCCATTTCAGAACTGATCGATCATGCAGGGTCTTATCTTGGTCATGCAGGGACAGATTTCATTCAATTTAGTACATAATTCAAACTTATCAAAACTTGATGCATGTTATTTGTTCTCAGATCAGAT